TTCTCCTGTTGCAAAGATGGTGACAGTACGATCTGTTTTGGCCTTAGCTTTGATTAAGGGCTGGTTTTTAAATCAAATGGATGTATATAATGCATTTTTGCAAGGAGATCTCTATGAGGATGTTTACATGAAAATGCCTCCTGGTTTTAATTCTAAAGATGAGGCACATAAGGTTTGCAAGTTACAAAAGTCTTTATATGGCTTGAAACAAGCCTCTCGGCAGTGGAACTTGAAATTTAGTGGTGCTTTGATTGAAGGGGGTTTTCAACAATCCAAATATGACTATTCTCTTTTTATCAAAAAGAACAATGGTCTGCTAACAATTTTACTTCTATATGTAGATGATATATTATTGACAGGAGATGACTTGGCTGGCATTAAGCACACAAAGGCTTATATTGCTTCAAAGTTCCATATTTAAGATCTTGGCACACTAAAGTATTTTCTTGGCCTTGAGATAGCTCGATCTGATCAAGGAATCTGCCTTAATCAACGCAAGTATGCTCTGGAATTGATCTCTAAAGCTGGTTTGAGTTCTGCCAAACCATCCAGCATACCTATGGAACAAAACACAAAGTTGACTAGTTTTGCATATGACAACAGTGATCAACAGCAGGTAGATCCACTCCTTGATGAGCCTGATGTATATCAGCGGTTAATAGGTTGTTTGATCTATTTAAAGATGACAAGGCCTGATATTAGTTATGTGGTAAAGCTCATTAGTCAGCATATGCACAAACCCAGAAGATCACACCTTGCTGCTGCAATGAAGGTAATCCGATATATCAAATTGAATCCTGGCTCTGGTTTATTGTTTCCTTCTTCTAGTAAATTAGAGTTAAGGGCCTTTTGTGATAGTGATTGGGCTTCATGCTTAATGAGTAGAAGATTTACAACAGGATTTTGTGTTTTTTTGGGTAATTCCTTGATATCCTAGAAATCTAAAAAGCAGAAGACTGTGTCCAAGTCTTCTGCTGAAGTAGAATATCGATCCATGGCAGCACTATCCTGTGAGCTTACATGGATTATTGGTTTATTTAGAGATTTGGGTGTTGATTCATTAACTCCTGCCAATATGTATTATGATAACACTATTGCTATTCATCTCTCAGCTAATCCTATGTTCCATGAGCGCACGAAACATATCGAGATCGATTGTCACATTACAAGAGAACGGATCTTAGAAGGTCTCATCCAAATTCATCATCTCTCCACAACTGAGCAGGTTGTTGACTTGCTGACCAAACCTCTTAGTCGAAAACAACATGACTACTTACTTGGCAAGTTGGGCATGATTAATTTGTATCATGTACCAACTTGAGGGGGGATTTTAAGTATATGTATTAAGGGCCTACGGGCATGAGTGTAATTTTCTCTTTTACTTGTAAAAAGTTTGTAAAGACTTCATTGTATTTTACACGGTGTTAATGAGATGAATAACAAACACAGAATTTCCCCCTTTCTTCTCTCCAAACACGAATCCAACAAACTGGAGTGTAGACAGAAGAGATAACATCAACTTTCATAATCTCGAAGACCGAAATGCCAGCTTCTCTGATAAGCTGAAGCATAAAAAAAAAAAAAAAAAAAAAAAAATACATTGTCAAAGAAGACCAAGCTGAAAGCGGATAGTAAAACTTAAGAACAGCAGGAAGATTTAACAAAAGTCCAATCATACATGTATCACACCAAAATCCAATAGAAAATCAAGACGTGTACTCTCCCCAACATCTTCAGTGGACCTGAATTTAGTGCTTTTCAATTGAATGCCCATGATGTTATTCTCCACAACAAGACCATGTTCCTGATGTAAAAACCTGACTTCCAGTTTTGGTAAAATGAAGCAAACCTATAGAAGAAAAATACAATTTATTGTCAGTTAGCAATTAAATAAGGCAAAAAAGTTCACAACTAGGCATCAAATATTCGAATTACAACCAGCAAATTTTCATATACCTCAAAAAGGTTGTAAACTACCTACAAACTTTGCCTGAAACCACAAACCAAGAAATATGCAAGCTAAAACTTCAGAAATGTGAAATTGCAAATAAAAACCATGTCTCTGACACTAAAAATCCAATTTTCCCCATGCGTAACTATGCCAAAGTGATAGCAGACATGTTATCACGAATGCAATTTAGTCAAAGATAAAAAGTGGTAGAGTTACATGGAAAAGGTTATAGAAAATCGAGGTGAAAAAGTACATAAACTTAAACAAAAACAACATTCCAAGTTCACTGATCCTTGCTTTTTGTCAAGCTTTATAGAGGCCACAGAATCACTAGTTGGCTCTGTAACTTTTTCTGTGTGAACAAAAGCGTCTGGTGATTTCTTCTTTTTGAAAGCAGCTCCTCATTCAAGCTCATAGTGACATCTCCACAGATAATATCCACATTTTGGATAGTCACACCTGTTTCCTTGCATCCAAAAGAAGTGATTACATAACTTTTAGTTCATACACCAAGCACATTTATCATCAAACCTAAGAAAAGAAAATTTTAATTTTAAATAAGCGGAGATGCAAGAAAAGAGAGAGGATGGAAAGGCAAACATGAAGTGCAACTGAAATCTGTAAAGGAAATCCAATGGTAGCCTAAAGCTTTGATGTTTAGTTCATCACATAACCATGTTTATTGCTGTTGACGCTTGATTTTGGACGCCAACGACTCGCACGTGGGAAACGCTGAGCTGACTCAGGAGACACACGTGATGGATCCATGAGATTTGAATATGGAGCTGAGATTATATATTTTGCAGAAAAATAAATAAAAGATTGGCAAGAGGGGTTTTTATAGTGGTTCGGATGCAACAAGCGACTCCTACATCCACTGTTATTTTATTGATCTCTGACTATTTCTATGATTTTGCCCGTAAGGCATACAAAGAGAAGAAAATGCAGTGTTTACAGAGAGAGAATGAAAATGAAGCTCAAACTCAGCCCCCCTCCAGCCTCTCTTCTTCGGGAAGAGAATGCCCATTTTCTCACCAAAACACTCAATGCAATAAGTGTTTTGCAAGTTGCCTTGACACATGGAAGGCTCTCGTCCATTCATCTCTTGAAAGAGATAAAGTTGGTGAGAATCTTTGGAATATGGGCATAGCAACTGGTTACAAGAAGCATAATTGTGCTGACATAGGCTTGACTTTTGAGGCATAACAGAAGCCCCCTATTTTTTTGAAGTGCGTTGCACTTTAGAAACTAAGTCTTTGATCTGACTTGCGGTCTCGAACTGAAGAGCTCGACTAAAATCTGTTAGGAAGACGATCAGAAACTGTTAGGAAAACGACTAGAATCTGTTAGGAGCGCCCAGAAACTCGTTAGAGCTCGACTGAAATCTGTTAGGAAAACGACCAAAATCTGGTAGGAAAACGACCAAAATCTGTTAGAAACGACCAAATCTAGTAGGAGCTCGACCTAATCTGATGGGAGAACGACCTGAAAGGTCATAACGACTCAATCTGAGCAAAACGAGCTCAACTTGAGAGCAAAACGACCTCGACCTTGAGAGTCAAAACGAGCTCAATCTGAGCAAAACAGCTCAACTTGAGAGCAAAACGACCTCGACCTGAGAGGTCAAAACCGCTTAATCTGAGCAAAACGAGCTCAACTTGAGAGCAAAACGAGCTCGACCTGAGAGGTCAAAACAGCTCAAAAACAAACACACCCTCAATTTTAGAGGTCAAAACGACCTCTCCTCGACCTAGAGGTCAAAACGACCTGAATGAGCAAAACGACCTCAATTTGAGAGTCAAACGAGCTAAATGAGCAAAACGACCTCATTTTAGAGGTCAAAACGACCTGAATGAGCAAAACGACCTCAACTTGAGAGGTCAAAACGAGCTCAATTTGAGAGGTCAAAACGAGCTTAATGAGCAAAACGACCTCAATTTTAGAGGTCAAACGAGCTCAAAAACAAAACGACCTCCTCAACCGAGAGGTCAAAACGACCTAACTTGAGAGGTCAAAATGAGCTTTACCTAAGAGCACAAGAGATCACGATCTCAGCGTGTGATCAGCGATCTGAACACGTGTTTGAAGCAAAGATCCGTGATCTGAGCTGAGATCAGACGGCATGTGCGTACGATCTGCGATCTGCCACGCGATCGGAGAACTCTGTGCTTGCGATCTGTTCTGGCCACGCAATTAGAGAATTCTGATACGCAATCGAAGAATTCTAATGCGTGCGATCTACGATCTGGCCACGCGATTGGAATTCTGACGCAGGTTTGAGATCTGAACACGCCATCAGGGAACTTGGATGCAGGCTTGAGAAATTGGACTTGCATGGGCCACCAAACTGCTGATGTTTGATTTGGACGCCAACGATCGCACGGAAATCTGAGCTGACTCAGAGACACACGTGATGACCATGAGATTTGAATATGAGCTGAGATTTATATTTTGCAGAAAAATAATAAAAGATTGGCAAGAGGGGTTTTTATAGTGTTCGATGCAACAAGCGACTCCTACATCCACTGTTATTTTATTGATCTCTAACTATTTCTATGATTTTGCCCGTAAGCCATACAAAGAGGAAGAAAATACAGTGTTTACAGAGAGAGAATAAAATGAAGCTCAAATCTAAGCTCTGCCTCCAGCCTCTCTTCTTCGGGAAGAGAAATGCCCATTTTCTCACCTAAACACTCAATGCAATGAGTGTTTTGCAGTTGCCTTGACACATGGAAGGCTCTTCCATTCATCTCTTGAAAGGAGATAAAGTTGTAAGAATATCTTTACAGATGGGTTTAGCACTAGTACAAGAAGACTAATTGTGCTAACATAGCTTGACTTTTGAGGCATAACAATTGCTAATGAGGGCTAGATTATCAAACTGTGGAATTGAAAAAGATAAACTTATCAAAAGAGAATACCTATCATGACCAAATTCACATGAGAGAGAAAATTCTTCACAGCTAAATGGAGCAGAAGACTTTTCACATGGCAAATGATGCTTGGCTGGAAGAAATGCATCCTCCACCATTTAAGTTGGATTGATTGGTCACAACAGCATCCGGGGTTCACCTATGTATACAAAAATAGGTAGTATGTGTAGCGTAACCAGAAGACCTGGCTTTGATCCAACATCTTTTGATATATCCACTGTCAGTTCCTTGACTTCAATAGTAGATTTGGGCATCTGCATTGTTTCAGAAAACATTTACAGTGAATTGTGCAAAGCCTTTGAAATAATAAACAAAATAGCAAAAAGAATAAAAGAAAAAAGTGTGTGAATACTTCCTACTTTTATTTTCATTAACACTTTAGGGTCTTTCTTACGAAATGCCATAGAGCAACCATATGTAACTTCACATCTTCAAACCAGTTCAGACTCAAACATGTATCTTTAACACTGTGACATCTCACCAAACTATGTTCAGCTTCAAAACTCCATGGAAACACATGAAATTATATGCAGTTATATTAAAAACAATCTGCAAGAAGTTATTGCTTCATTTCCTGGTTGACAATTTATAAAGAAATGATTCCCAGTCCATGTATCTATATTGATAACTCACGATCAGCAAGTTGAGAAGTGTTAAAAATCACAACTTCTCCCCAACTTTCGCTCACCCACTCTCAGCCATACCATATCCAAGAAAATCTAGAGTTTCATACCCATTTTTTTAATCCATTCAAAGATGATTATTCATCAAACATAAAGATCAATGATGGCATAATATTAAAAATTAATAAAAAAATATGAGAAAATTGCATATGCAAATCAAAAGAAAAATAATTTTGAAAAACAAAAAGAAAAACTCCGTAAACAGGACTTACCTTCACAACCATGTCTGTCACAGAAACTGACAAAAATCTTGCAGTGTTAGCAACAACCATCCATTTTCCCCTGCCTGAAGAGCGCGGTTTACGAGTTTTAGTTTTCTTTGAGCTTTTACTTGATGGCCGCATAACAACTTCTAAGTCACATATTAACACTTGTAGTTTGGGATCCTTAGAAATAAAACCAACCCCGAGTTTGACCAAGGACTGACGTAAGCTGACTTTGATTTCACCAACAGATACAGATTCAATAGCACCCTACAAATAATCAAAGTCAAAACAAGATGAAGATAAGGCATTTATCTAGTGTTGGAAAACACATGCCTTTGATTGCATACACATCTCCCTCTCATTTCAAGATTACACACAGAAGATGCCAGAAGTATTCAGAGGGATGGAGCAAGCAGAAACAGAACACCTAACACTGTGTCAAAACCTTTCTAATCTTTAGAATCTAAATATAATTTTCTTTACTGACAGATTTTTATTTAGAAACAAAAGGGTGATTTCTAAAATTATAATGAATATTTATAAGTTATTTGTAGACACATAAATCATAACAATAATTAACAAGTCCCATAATATGCTCTCCTCCTTGGCCAAAGTCTATTTATAGAGCAATAACTTTTTACAATGCCAGAATACAGCATTACAATCCAACCACACGACAATTTCCCTATTAGTGATTAGATTTAAGTACATATGCATCACTGATTAACCAAACTTAAAATGAAGCATGCCCAGTAACATGGATAAAAGACAAACCTTTTTGAATTTCACCACAACGTCCCTTACACATTTCCAACCACCAACCCGAAATCCAACAGATGCTCCCAATATCCGGCTTAGAATCCAAGCCACCAACCTGGAGGCAAACCTGAGGAAAGATAAATTGCATAATGAGACTTTAGAGACAAATACAAAACAAATTCCAGAACAACTAGACCATATCAATGGGGGTGAAGAAAATGAAGCACTTGATCTTTAAAAAATACATAAATGGTGGTACAAACAAGAGCATACTTAAATAAAGGACTGATGGTAAACCATAATGCAGTAATAGAACAAAAACACATATAATGACGAATAAATTCATATTTTTGAATACTAGTCAAAAATAATAAAAAGTAACCACCAAACTCAATATGGCAAAGCTTTAATCCTAAATTTGTTAATCCTTGTTGTATGCTACATGATCTGTCTCCCCCATTTATCTCAATTTTCAAAAACATAAATTCTTGACAACTGTGCTCCCTTTCAGACCCTAAAATCACACTTTTTTAGCCTGTCTCCCACATAATTCTAGTAGATGATCACCACATGATAAAACCATCTGAAGAAAGTGGATTATGAGGTAAAGAGGCAAAACTGCAGATAATACTATACTCTTGAATGATAAAGTAGACTAAAACTTTCAGTTGATAAAATTGATTAATTAATAGAAACACATGCAGTGCCCAACAACATAAACTATTGCCAAAGATACAGCAAATGCCAAGAATTCATAAGGCACCCAAGACACTTGAGGAAAGTCAACAATAACTTATCAGAGTTAAATAAAAATAATTCAGAATCACCGAAGTACAAAAGCAGCCAGACTTCCTTAAGGCAGCGTATACTTATACTTCAAACATTGACTACGCTGAAGAGAATTGGAAAAACATTATAAAAAAATTATAAATTGCATCTACTTGAGCTCAAATATAATTATAAGGTGCTCAACGTAAACATTTTTAAAAAATCTGCCACAAAAATGGAAGTAGAATGATGCGTTGAAACAATAAAAACAATACGTCTAAGCTACAACCATATCAGCAGTCATGGCAATTGTTACGCAGCTCAATTATTTGGAGTAGGTCACTGACTTTTCACTTCCACAATGCATTCCTTTCAATAACACATTCAACGACAGCCTAAGCATATAGTGTTTTTCTTCTCTTGCAGTGTAAACTGCAACTTGATATCATTCAAATAAAACTGGCATTGCCTCAACAGTTTTTTTTTTTTTTTTCCCCCTCTTCTTCCGCCTTATTATGGTGCACATTTTAAAATTACAAAACAGCATACAGAACAGTAATTTCATGTTTGTATTGTCCTTATTACATCACAAAATAAATGCAAAGTCCATTTGATCATCAACCTAAGTTATCGAACTGCACTTATCTACGGAATGTAATAAAATTCATAAATATAACTATATAAGGCAAGATTGAATGACTTACATGAAGACCATCCACAATGTGATGGAAACCATCAAGAATCCAAAGNGTATTGTCCTTATTACATCACAAAATAAATGCAAAGTCCATTTGATCATCAACCTAAGTTATCGAACTGCACTTATCTACGGAATGTAATAAAATTCATAAATATAACAATATAAGGCAAGATTGAATGACTTACATGAAGACCATCCACAATGTGATGGAAACCATCAAGAATCCAAAGAGAAACTTCACAGGAGAAGCTGCCATTTTAACTGGAGAGTCTCTTAATCTCCAAAAACTTAAGGTCTTCAATCAAATTATAATCGAATTCCAAATAAGATTCAAATAAGACGCACATAACTTCGTCATTTCAAGAAAAATGATAGATAATTATAACTGTAACTGTAACAAAAGAAAAATTATGAGAATAAAACCCTAAAAATTGAAGAATTGCATCTACTTAAAAAAAAAATAGTGGGAGTATTGTGCGGCAATGAGACTGAGTCATGGAGGCGTAGCGATCGAACAGGATGTAATTAAAATCATACATATAGTGGAGAAAAGATCGGATCCGGTTGATCAGAGAGAGAATGGAGAGTGTTATATTGATTGATGATGACCAGCGAGGGTTTAGATTAAATGCGGTGAAGGTGCAGGGGAGTGGGCAGGGAGTTCTCGGCAAGTGTGCATGACATGTCCCTATTGTGTCAGTAAATGGCCAACGTGTCCTCGGGACTGGCACGGGGGGAATTTGTCAACGGGGGTGTTTGGACAATTGGACTTGCTTCAATTTGATTGGATCTTTTTCAGTTATTTACTTGTGGACGGATTTTAATTGCCCCACGTCACACGCTACAGATTATGACTCTATGGAGTAAACCAGGTGTTCCCAGCCAAGGTTTCGTGAATCGCTAGTTTGTACCCTTAGGTTTCACAAATTTTATATTCTCAGGCTTAAATTAAAACTAATAATGATTTTTAGATTCTAATATAGTATAATAAATATTATTACCAAACTACCCTCAATAAAAACTAAATTCCTGAATTAGTATAGAGTGTTGTGTGAGGCTTGGTTGGCGGTCGATGGAGAGAATAGAGAAGCTACTCGCAGTAAGGTTATATAAACAAAACACAGAACAATCTAAACTCCCAAAATCAATTCAAACAACACAATCCAATTCTAAAATCCAACCAAACTTCAACACAAATGTGCACTGGCTTCTCAATGGAATTTCGTCACAAAAAAAGGCTGCAATTGGAGTTGAACAGTGATCGGGAAAACAGCAAACACAATGACACAACACAACAATCCAACAATCTTCACCAAACAAGTTCAAAAAAATGCTTAAAATGTATT